TAGGAAAACATAGTACCATGCCAGTAACGATCGAAGCCACAATGTCGAAGCATTCGTCCCATTAACCCACCATCTTACTGCTTCATATACATAAGGAAGGAAATGTGGGATAAGCTCGAAGTCATCATATCGAAGCATTCGCTTCTCCAAGCACTCCATTCACCTACCCACCAATTCACTGCTTCACCAAAAGAAGGAAGTGTAGGATAGAGCTAGGTTCTCCGTATCACTACCTTTATCGTAACCATACTTCTCGGACGGACAGACATACAAACCGACAAACCTACAAACCTACAAACCGACACACCAAGTTACTGCTTTATAAATAAGAAGGATTAGAGACATTGTTGTCTCCCTGATGAACGAACGAACAAATACGGTAGTTCAGTGATATATTCATTAGCAACGAACGCAAACACCTTAGCTGCGGGTGGTGTACAAAGAGTCCCTTGTAACGGGTATGACAGAGAAGAGAATCCCTACTTTAGCCCCGCCCCGAAGGAGCGGTGGTGACCGCGGGTTCTGGCGAATGTCAGAAAACTGCTTATCCCTTTAAGGGTTGCTCCACCTCATTCCCAGCATTTTCTTTGAATAACAAAGATGTCAATTTTCTCGGGATTTTCCTAGCTGTTATAACTGATTTGAACAGCATGTCTAATCCAGAACATGGATTAGACAAAGGCTAGGCCTTATCCAGGAATTATTTCCTGGATTTGTCCAGGAATTATATCCTGTGTTTCTTGTGAATAGAGAGGGCTGTATTCAATCAGTGAGGGGTTTGAAATTATTTCGCAAGCTCTTGGCCTACATCTCAAGAAAATGCTGATGTATTTCATGCAGACGGGATGCAAGCTCTTACGCCACAATTGCGAGTACATTGTCTGACCTGCTGCGCCAACGCTTTACGTTTGGCGGAACGAGTCGTCTTCGACAAAAGCTCGACAAAAAACCATATCTCGTGGAAGGAGCAATTTCGTAATTTCGTTTTCGGAATCGTCTTCACGATTCGGAACGTGGATTTATGTAAGCGTCCGTTAACACTTATGATAATATGTACATATCGTATCTCGAACGACCACTACAACCCAGTGTCCTTCCCATATCACTAACTCACTGCATTGG